TTCTCTCAGGTGTGGAGGTAACTTAACAACATTAAAAAATGGGTGTAGTGGTATGTCAGCAAAAATCCCAATATTCCTTGCATTACATTCAATATTCTTTTCTGAAAAAGAAATACACTAAAATACAGAGGATGTATAGCCCTTCTTGCTGAGAACACATGTGTGAGTACTGAATGAGTTAGCATATGTAGTGAAATAAGAAACAAATATCCCTGTTGAGTCCCAAACAAATCCTCACCCACAATGATGCAACATCTAATTTGAACGTGGACACTGGGACCAGAGCTTGCAATAAACCCAGATGCCAACTTTGCTGCCACATACACCCAGGCAACACAATTACTGGACCTAACAATATCAACTTACACCATCAGAGGCTCATTTACTTGTTCATCTTCTAACATTGTATATGCCATTAAATGCCAACAATGCCCTTCAGTTCTCTACATAGGACAAACAGGACAAATCGTATGCCAGAGGATAAATGGACACAAATCTGACATCAGGGATCGCAAGACTGAGAAACTTGTAGGAAAATACTTCAACCTTCCAGGACATTCAGTGAATGACTTCAGAGTAGCTGTTTTATTACAAAGGAACTTCAGGAACAGAATGGAAAAGGAAATTGCTGAATTACAAGTTATTACAACACCTGGAACAAAAACCTCCCCAGGACTCAGTCTGCATGTGGCTGCATATGGAGAAGTGGGGAATCAAACCCAGTTCTCCAGATTACAGTCCGCCACTCTTAACCACTACACAAAACTGGCTCCATGAGCACATCCTAATTGCAGAGAGAACAGGCCTCCAGAGTCCTGGATTGAGACCCTTCAAGCCTTACAGGGCTGCTTCAAGGTAAGCCATGAAAAAATGGAATTATCACACAATGGCTTTTCATAGAATCATAAAATGTTAGAGTTGGAAGGGACCTTGCAGGTCATCTAGTCCAACCCCCTGCACTCTGCAGGAGCATAGCTGAAAGATAGCCCTACATACCTGCAACATACCTGAAAGATGGTCGTCCAGCCTCCGCTTGAAAATGTCCAGCGAAGGAGCATCCACCACCTCCCAAGGCAGACTATTCCACTGCTCAACCACTCTTATAGTTAGGAAGTTTCACCTGATATTTAGCCAGTAACGACTCCCTTGTAATTTCCACCCATTAGATCTAGTCTTGCAATCTGGAGCAAGAGAGAATAGATCTGCTCCATCTTCTACATGACAGCCCTTCAAATACTTGAAGACTGCAATCATGTCCTCTCTAAGCCTTCTCTTTCCCAGGCTAAACATACCCAACTCTTTCAGCCTTTCCTCATAAAACTTGGATTCCAACCATCTCACTATCCTGGTTGCCCTTTTCTGGACACACTCTAGCTTGTCAACATCCTTCCTAAAATGTGGTGCCCAAAACTGGACACAGTACTCCAGGTGAGGCCTGACCATAGCAGAATAGAGCGGAACTACCACCTCCTTTGATCTGGACACAATGCTTCTGTTAATGCATCCTAAGATTGCATTAGCTTTCTTCACAGCCACATCGCACTGCAGGCTCATGTTAACTTGTGATCAATCAGAACACCTAGATCCCTTTCACATGTGCTGCTGTCAAGCCAAGTCCCTCCCATTCTATATCTATGCCTTTGATTTTTTTGTACCTAAGTATAGGACTTTTCATTTATCTCTACTGAAATTCATTTTATTTGTCTCAGCCCACTGTTCCAGCCTATCTAGATCATTTTGAATCCTGACTCTGTCTTCTTCAGAATTAGCAATCCCACCTAACTTCTTGTCATCTGCAAATTTGATAAGCATCCCCTCTATGTCTTCCTCCAGGTCATTTATAAAAACATTGAACAACACCGGCCTTAGGATCGAGCCCTGCGGCACTCCACTCGAGACTTCCCTCCACGTAGACACAGAGCCATTTATGAGCACTCATTGGGTATGATTTTTCAACCAACCATGAATCCATCAAATGGGTGCACCATCCAGCCCACACTTCACCAGCTTATCCTCAAGGATATCATGAGAAACTTTGTCGAATGCTTTACTAAAATCTAGATACACTATGTCCACAGCCTTGCCAGAGTCAACCATTTTGGTAACTCTGTCAAAAAAGGAGATAAGGTTGGTCTGGCATGACTTATTCTTGATAAACCCATGCTGGCTACTACGAATTAACTCATTCCGTTCAAGGTGCTCACAGACAGAGCATTTAATAATCTGCTCTAGAATTTCCCCAGGTATTGATTCATTACTTACACTGCATTACTTACATTACATATTCATTACTTACATTGCATTTAATTTTTCTCCATTTGACATTATTAGACAGTTTCAACTTTAATAACTGTTTCTGTGCAAGGCAGTCATTCTTCTCAATCATGTACATAAGACTCAAAAGTAAGCTGCCCCACAGAAAAGAGAGTGCTAATACCCACTCTTCACACAAGTCTTCTGCAGTAGCTTGCTCTGACCTTCTTTATTGCTCTCACACTGCGGAAAGACAACTCAAGAGCAGCAAGCCTGTTTTATATGGGACAAGTAACAAACCCCACTCTGTGCAAGATGTAGTGTGGCAATTATGAGCTAAAGTTAGAAACTCAAGCACAACACCAGGAATCTCCCCTCTTGTCAGACACATTGAAACTGATTCATGGAGCAACGTTCTAGAAGTGCTTCATATCTCAAAAGTGCTGTGCAAACACTCTAACTAATGTAATCAGCAATAACAGTATTAATATCTATGTTTACAGCATTTCCCATGACAGTAATACATTTCCCCAGATAATCTATGGCTGCGGTCACACGCAACATTAGCCACGCAAGAGATACGGAAGACAAGCGGAGTTTCCGGTCGCGATCTCACCAGCACATCTGGGAAGCGTAGCGCTTCCGTGGCACAACTGAGGCTTCCTGCCGAAAAAGCGCAGCAAAAAACTAGTACCTTGGAGGTACTAGTTTCCAGAAACTGCGGGGCAAGGGCGGGCGTCTGATCGCGTTTCCGGTGGTATCCGGCGCCCGCCCATGTCCCCTTGCGGAAAAGGGTTTTTTTTTCCCGACGTCTCCGTGGATGCGCACACGCACCCAACGGAGCATGCGCATTCGTAGTGTACACAAAAAAAGAAAACCAGTTCGCCGCGCCGCGCGCTTCTTCATTGCGCGCAGGCGTGTGTTGTGATCGGCACCTCTCCCTTGCCATGGAACCTCCACAGTACCTCCACAGAACCTCCACAGTAGGTCTGATCGCTTTACTGCATGTTATTTTGCCCCGGGGCAAACAGCCACACTTCTCCTCTGCAGTTTCCTGCCCGTGTGGCAGGGGCCTTGGTCTGTTTTTGAAAAAGGACTTAAGAGTGCAGCTTGACTATAGCAGGTGCATCTGTACCCTTTTGCACATTCCTGGCAGACGCTGTAGATCCCCATCAGTCACCTTTATCTTCTGCCATCAGTTACCTTCGGAAGCATCATGGGAGCTATCAGAAGAGTCTGTGCCATTACTGTCAGGTGTTGGGACTGAAATCTTCTCCCAAATGGCTCACTTTGGGAGGTGCTGCCACATCAGCCTGCCCAGCTGCTTCTGGGGAAAATACTGCTGGCTGGAAGCAGTGCTGAACCCAGCAAGGGCATTGCACCACACAGCAGAATGAAGGCAAAACCATTTAATTTGGTTTCCAAATATTCCCAGCAAATTTCAATTAGAAATGTTTTCTTTCAGGAGTAAGAACAGAAAATTTAAGTTAAGAGAGTAGTATATCGATGGAAATAGAACTTGGTCTTCTCTTGCTTACTCCAGGGTGAAATCTGAATATGCTACTCATTAGTTTTACTACTACTGGATTTACTACCATTCAGATATCCTACACATAGGGCCAAGCTACATGAGATGCTAGGGAACTTTAACCGTATCCCCAGCTGTCTAATTTAGCTTCTAAAAACAGATGGGGGGATATAGATTAGGGCTGTGGTGCTGGGGAAGGGTAACTCTTCCTCTTCAGAGCATTTGCATGATTGAAAATGGTCCCCTTCTGGCCATCGGAGCCTAAAAAAGGCACCTTCTTTCCTCCTAAATGGAGCTTTAAACACCCCAGTCATGCTGCCGTGACACGCTAAGGGCATGAGAGTTAACTATCCTTACCCAGTACTCAGGTCCCATTTCAGATTTTCCAAGCTGCTCTTTGCAGCTAAACTACATGTCTGAGGATATGATCATAGAACATGCACCCCCCCCCCACCAGTGTCACATGTAGCTTACCACAAGAAGAGTTGCTGTTTTTACATTTATCTAGCCTGGATGCTTAGACAGGGAGCAGGTTTTCTCTGAGCAGTAAATCTGAATTATTCTAACTGGCATCCAGCTGGTTACTAGAGAAAGAATGCTGTGTAAGGCAGATGCTTGGCATGGCCCAGAATGGTTATCCATATGTTTTTGTCATAGTCCAGCATCTTTGCTTCTAGTAGCTCACAAACAAGTTACCATCCAATATCACGTCAAATACGATCAAAAATTGGTGGCAACTAGATGTACTTTGTACTGAATAGAAGTTGACAACAGAAGGAAACTAGTCAGGATAATTCCCTCCACCTCCCTTCCCCAGGAAAATCAAGCAAAGACTTTGTTGGAAATTCACAAATTAGACCAGGACCGATACATAATCTCATAAGGAAAAAGAAAAACTATATGCCCTCAAGAGGTATACAGATATGAAAAATGTGTGGCCAGGACAGATCTATTGGATAAAGAAGGGCTGCAATTATCAAGAAATCTTTAAAAATTCCCTTCTCCCCAAAGGCCACTCCTGCCTTTATGAAGAATTTACTTTAGCTGTCAAACAAATGAAAGAAATTTTACAGCACAGATTTCCCTCTGACTTCTCTGATTTCCATTGCATTACCCTCCCCCACACACTTGCTAATCAAAGCACTGTGTTGGATGGATTGTTGCATTCTCATAATGAACCAGATCATCTGGAATGACTTCCAAGAAATAAACTCCCTACCTGCCAGGTCAACTGTGCCATTGTAAAAGAGCTTTGGGCTTCCTGGACTCCCGGCTTCCCTTTCATGACCACGCCTTTCGACTGACAGGTTGCCTACATCTGGGCTTCTGTCTCGATGTGTCCTCTCTTCATTAACTGGAACACACAAAAAAGCAGCCTGGTTTACGATTGTGCTGTGATGGTGGATTGCTGGTCTGGCAGACCTAGGAGGACAACAGCTGGTGGCTGATCAGACTGGGCCAAAAGTTTGCAGCCATAACGCGTGATGGTGTAAAAAAGGCAGGGCAGGCTGGAATCCACTGTCGCTGTGGGATTCAAAACAAATGGAGGGAGAATGCATACTGAAGACGCTGACAAGGTGAAGGGACATAATTGCTAACAGAAAAATTGCAGTGGATGCTGCTCAATTCTCTAGTTCCAGCACTTATGTTTCGCTTTTAAAATGCCAGTGTGCAATTCCATTTTCAATCACAATTTAACAGCTACACATAATTTAAAAAACCCCCACAAACCTCCAATCATGGAAGCTGAAATTCAACAATATTGGCATTTGGCATTAGGACACAAAAATGCACCAACAAATGGAACTCATTAGGAATAAAGGACAGATCTACAGATGGCATCTACCGAATGGAGTGGCTTGCATTAGAGATACAGTAACTTCACATCAAAGGGGGAACTGACTAAAGGAAAAGTTAACAAAAAGCAAAAATTTCAGTGAAAGGAGGAGGAGGGATTGGATTTATACCCCGCCCTTCCTTTGGAGTCTCAGAGCGGCTTACAAACTCCTTTCCCTTCCCCTCCCCACAACAGACACCCTGTGAGGTAGGTGGGGCTGAGAGAGCTCTGACACAAACTGCTCTTTTTCAAGGACAGCTCTTATCAGAATTACGGCTTGCCCAAGGTCCAACCGGGGGGGGGGGAATACCAATCAGGTGAAAACAAAGTTGAGAACAACTGTGGCCAGTCTTGCTCAGTTGGGCCTGCCTTTCTAGGGACAGTTTTGCAAACTACATGGAAGTGATAAAAGGAGGTGGAGGCTGTATCAAGCTGGGCATTGGAACACCCTAGACTAGTAGTCCTGGGCGATTTCAGTGTCCATGCTGATGATGCGACCTGCACTCAGGCAACAGACCTAGTGTCATCCACGGTGGCGCTGAGACTCTCCCAATATGTATTGCGCTCCACTCACTGGGCCAGGCACATGCTTGATCTGATCTCTGCAGCGGGGGTTTCAGTGGACCGGATTACTGCCTTGTCAGTACCATGGTTGGACCACCATGCCCTGAGGGCCCATCTGAATGTCTCACCCTGAACCTGTTTAGGCGGGGAGTGTATTTTAGCTTGCCCGTGGAGCCAAATGGATCCTATGCAGCTCCAGATGGCTCTGCAGGATCCGATGCCCCCCTGGCAGGTTATGAGATGAGCTTGTAGGAGACTGGCACAGCTGACTCTCTGCAGCTATCAATGAGATTGCTCCCAGGAGCCTTCTGTGCCCCCACTCTAGGCTCGCTCCTTGGTTCACCCAGAAGTTGCGGCTTATGAAGCGAGGGCTGAGACGGCTAGAGAGACAGTGGCGGCGTGCTTGCAATGAAGCTACAAGAGCATCTTATAGGATGTTTATGCGATCATATGAGATGGTGGTCAAAGCTACGAAGAGAGAGTATTATGCAGCTACAATTGTGTCTGCAAGCTCACGCCCATCCCAATTATTTAGAACAATTCGGTCTACAATTGTTCTGCCACAGGGCAGACCAAATGCTTGGGAACTGGACATAGGCTGTGAGGCTTTTGCGAGCCATTTTGCAGACAAAGTCCTGTCACTCCGCCACGATCTCCCCATCACAGTTGATAGAGTGAGTGAACACGAGGCTCCATGCTTGTCTTCGAGTCAGGTTATGGATTATTTCAGTCCGCTCAGCCTAGAGGAAGTTGATAAATTGCTTCTAGCTGTACGTCCTACCTCATGCTGCCTTGATCCGTGCTCACCATGGCTAATTAAAGCTGGCCATGATGGGTTTCGAGGCACCCTAAGGGAAATCATCAACAAGTCCTTCACAGAGGGACAGTTCCCTGGGGTGCTCAAGGAAGCAGTGGTCCATCCTCTCCTGAAAAAGCCGTCTCTGGATCTGGCCAAATTGGCTAACTACTGGGCAGTTTCCAATTTGCCCTGTTTGGGCAAAATAATAGGGAGGGTGGTGGCAAGTCAGCTACAGAGCTTTTTGGATGATGCTTCCATCTTAGATCCCTTCCAATCTGGTTTTCGCCTGGGACATGGGACGGAGACAGCACTGGTCGCCCTCATGGATGACCTCCAGAGGCATCTGGATTAGGGTGGATCAGCAGTACTGTTGCTGTTGAACCTGTCAGCAGCGTTCGACACAGTCAACCATCAGTCACTGATCCACTGCCTTGCTGACATAGGAGTCCAGGGGCTTGCCTTGCAATGGCTTGTCTCCTTTCTCCAAGGTCATGGACAAAGGGTGGCACTAGGGGGACAGCTGTCCAGAAGGCATCCACTGGATTGTGGAGTGCCTCAAGGGGCAGTGCTTTTCCCGATGCTATTCAACATCTATATGTGCCCCCTTGCCCAGATTGCCTGGCAGTTTGGGCTGGGATGTCACCAGTATGTGGATGACACCCAGCTCTACCTGTTGTTGGACAGCCACTCTGACTCCAGACCAGACTGAAAGATCTGGATCAGGCATTACATGTTGTGACTGGTTGGCTTAGACTGAGCCAACTGAAGTTGAATCCGATGAAGACGGAGGTCCTGTGCCTGAGTCAGGGTGGTCTGGGGGTAGGGATCCCACTTCCAACCTTCAATGGGGTGCCCTTGGTGCCAGTGCCAGAGGTTAGGAGTTGGGGAGTGCTCTTGGATACCTCCTTAACAATGGAGGCCCAGGTAGCAGCCACTGCCAAGTCAGCCTTTTACCATCTTTGGCTGATTAGGCAGTTGGTTCCCTTCCTCGACCAAAACGACTTGGCAACAGTGATCCAGGTGATGGTAACCTCAAGATTAAACTACGACAATACTCTCTACATGGGGCTGCCCTTGTCACAAATCTGGAAACTGTAGCTAGTGCAAAATGCTGTGGCTAGGCTTTTGATGGGCCTCCCCATGCGGGAGCACATTCAACCTGTGCTGAAGGTATTGCACTGGCTGCTGATAGCATACCGAATTCGCTTCAAGGTGCTGGTTCTTACCTTTAAAGCCCTATATGGCCAAGATCTGACATACCTGAGGGACTGTCTTTCCCCCCTATATGTACCCCAGAAAGCACTATGGTCAGGGTCTCAAAACCAACTGGCCCTCCAAGGTCCCAAGGATGCCAGGCTGGCTACAACCAGGGCCAGGGCCTTCTCAGTGGTGGCTCCGCACTGGTGAAATGAGCTCCCAGAAGAGATCAGGGCCCTGTAGGACCTCTTACAGTTCCACAGGGCCTGTAAGATGGAGTTTGTCCACCAGGCCTTCAACTAAGGAGCTGCCACCACTACCACCACCAACAACTGGCCCTTGGTTTTGCCATCCACAGCCTGTGCCTGCTGATTATATCAGGGAATGATCAATGAGCTGAACACCTAGTTAGATCTTTGAATGCATTCATATGGCACTGCCATCGTTAAGCAATTAAATAGACACTGCTAGCACTTTATGATATTGAATTGTTTTATAATTGAACAGTTTTTAGATGATTTTATGAAAAAAATTAACTGTTACTTATGCATTTACTTTTATGTAAGCCACCCTGAGCCTGCCTCAGTGGGGAGGGCAAGATATAAATTGATTGATTGAATGAATGAATAAACATGAGTTGCACTTCATTTTTCACATCTTTGGTGTAACAGACAAAGAAGGAAATCCACTGCAAGAAGATGCATGGGAGATCAATGCAGGGGCAGCCAACTGCAGGATAAAAAGCTAATCACAGGGAACTCACTTGTTAAGTAACAGTCCAGGCTGAGAGAGACATTATCAACAGCAATGATGGCTTCTGATCCAGCTTTCCAGGAAGTTACAATCTGAAGCCAAAACCTGTAAAGAATAATAGAGAAGTCATTACATCGTGTTTGCTGGGCAGAGGATACACAAGGGTTGTTCAAACTTCCTATACATTTTGGTTCTGGATACATCCAGACCAGTCTTACAGTGAAGGAGAATATATGTCGAATCTTAATTAGTATCAGGCATCTTGGTACTTATAATTACTTCATCTTTTACAGAGGACAAAGAGACAAGTTGCTTCCCCAAAGAGCTTACAGTATAAAACGTGACAGAAAGGAAACAAAAAAGGAAATGAAGGGAAGTGGAGACATGCATTCATTTCAGCTACGTGTGCTTAGAGATTGCTTCAGTAAAAAATTGGGACTACATGGTTATGTCAAAGGCTCCAAAGAAAAGGTGACTTATGAGGATGTAACTGAAGGGAGTGAGAGAGAAATCATGCAGAGGTTCTGACAGGCAGTTCCAAGCACAAGGACAACATGGGAGAAAGAGCAAGGACATGTGAGAGAGCAGGAGAAATTTGCAAAGTTGAGGGTGATGAAGCTGGGATTGGGATATATTAAGGGGGGGAAACAGGACTTTAAAGGTAAGGGTTCAAATGCAAGAGTGAAGAATTTGTGCTGGTTCTAAGAATGGACAGAATGCCAGTGCAGTGATTTTAACAAAGGGCATGACATAGTATGAGAATAATAAGAATTATTTTTAACAGCAGAGAGCTGAGTAAAGGTGAGGTGGTCAAGATGCAACCAAGGAAGAGATTGTAGTAGTCTAAGTAAAAGATGACTAGGGTGTGAATCAGTTTTCACCAAAGCAGTGGCGAGGAAGAGCCATATTTTTTGTGTCATACAGGACATATCATGGCAAGAAGCAGAATATGGGGAAGGAAAGAGAGAAGAGCCAAAGCCAAAACTTTGCTCCTGCTTATTAGAGTGCACAGTGAAATAATCAATGAATGTATAGAATACACAAGGAAAGGAAATCTTGGTAGGGAAGACGAAAAGTTCAGTCTTGGATGTATTGATTTTTAGACAACAATGAAACATATAAGCTGAAATATCAGACAGGCAAATAGAGATGCAGAATTGGATGGAGGAAGAAAGCTCAGAGGCAGACAGGTAGAGGTGGATGTCATCAGCATGTAGATGATACGGAAAGCCAGAAGACTTGATGAGTTCATCCAGGGAGAGAACAGAAGATGGCTAAGGACAGGTCCCTGGAGGACCACGGGGGGGGGGGAACCAAAGGAAGATTGATTACATGGGTAGGAAGGGAATTGGCTAACAACAGAGCTGCAAAAAACTGAAGTGTGAAAGGTGTCAAGGAGTCGAGAATGATCAATTATATAAAAAGCAGCAGAGAGGTTAGGGTAGATGAAAACAAGTAGAGCTCTATGGTTTTGGCAATGAGGAGGTTATCAGTAATTTTAACGAGGGCATGGAATAAAGAGGATAATAAATTGCAGGAGGCTGAGAGAAGAACCAGACAAAAGAAAGTTGAGAGCATGATTCAGCAGTATGCTGTAACATTTTGGAGGCAAAGGACAGAAGGGACATTAGATGGCAGTTGAAGAAAATGGGTCAAGGATGGCTTTTGAGCAATGGGGGAACACAGGCATGTCTGCATGCAGTAGGAAGGAGGCAGAGCAGAAGGGTAACAATGACTATATTTTGCAGAAGTTAATGGCAGACCATATATGATAAGATTAATGGGACCTGTGGAGAAGTCAACAGGATAGTCCTCATAAAGTGAGACAGGGAGGAAAAAAAGAGGGAAAGACTGAAGAAGGTGTGGGAAAGAAAACTGGAAGAAAATGGTGAGTGAGGGAGAAATATAAGATGGATAGTTTCCATTTTATCATTGAAAAAGATAAGAAAATCTTGAATAGACTGTGAGGTAGTGGTGTGGGAGGCATTAGTTGAGCATCAAAGATGAAGATGTACCAAGGAATTCTAGAGCTAGTGAGGATCAGGTAAATGTAGTACTGTTGTTTAGCTAATCAGCCATGTCTTCCAGAGACTGCATCAAACTGTGAACAGAGATAATGTGAAATGTTTCACATCTAGGGAGGAGAAGGACAAATAGTCCATTGAGAGATTGGGGCAAATGAGACAAGGGTTAATGACACAGATGAGTTGAAGGCTGAAAGTTCAATGTCTAGGACTGAACAGAAGAGACGACAATGGTTCTTCCAAAAAAGCCACTGAGTCAACAGATCATTGGTCATAGAAGGAGCAAGAGGCAGATCATGAAGAAGGTGGATTGTGTGCAGTGTTGGAAAAAATACAATGCTGGAAAGACAGAGAATATTCCTCAGCTGAGAGGTGAGAGCCAAAGCAGTAATTGATAAAGACAAAATCAAAAGAGCACCCAGGGCGGTACATGTGGGAGTCAGTCCAAAGGCCATGACAGAAATAGGTCCTTCGTTAGGGAAAGGAGATGGAAAAACATATGTTCTCCTTTCTTTTGATGTTTTGGCACACTTGCAGCTTTCTCAGTATAAAGAAGGCAAGATTCCAGTGCCAGGTTCTTGCAGCCAAACCTATGTTACTCACAGTCCAAATTAATAGAAGTTACTTAAATGTAAGTCTACTTGTAATCAGTGGCATTTACTCCCATTTCATAGGATTGCCACTGAATGGTTTCTGAAAACAAGAAGACTTTTTTTTACAATAGAAGAAACTGGATGGAAAATTGAACACTGTTCTGTTTTATGGTCTTCAGCAAACCTTTCATGACTTGTTTTGCCAGTAAAACAAGAGAGACTCCAGCAGATAAATTGTCAGTTACTTTTTGTATCAAAATTAATTTGTAACATTGATATCCAGAAATATAGCATAATCTGTCTACCACCTAGTTGTGCTTCAACACTTAATTGATTAATCAGATGAATAATGTAGAAAGCTTTTGATTGATTAAAATGTGCCCTTGATTAATTGAGCAGCAGGTTTTAAAAAAAAACAGTACAGTTTTAAAATACCCACAACCCACAAGTAATGGGCACAATCCAAGAAGGGTCATTATCCCTTTTAATTTATACCAGAGGGAATGCTCGTCCTAATAGACTGCCTACTGTGATATACCTATGCATTATGTAAAGACCAAAGTATTCTTTCTTCATAATTTGGACATATACAATTTCATGCAGATTACATATATAAATATATTAATTTATTAAATCTGATGCAATTAATCACTTTTTTTAGTCAGGTGACAGCCCTTAGCCTGGCACTGAGGTTTTAAGACGGATTGTTTCCAAAACCAAGAAAAATGCATAAAACCCCTTGAAAACACCATACATTAGTGACAGATCATTTTTTCATAACTTTGCATATATCTAATACCCTACTGCTTGTCCATGGGGTCGCGAAGAGTCGGACTCAACTGTGCGACTGAACAACAACAACTGCTTCTATACCATTTTTAGGGACTTTTTTCTTTTTTCATTGTATGATCATAGCCAATCAGCAAAAGTCTTTATCAAGGAACCTGCTTGCTGTCCCATTCCGAAACAAGGTAGGGCTTTTTCAGATGGATGTGCAGTCTCCATAGAAGCTTGCCTGACACCAAATTTGTACACTTAGGCACAGGCAGAGATGTTCTTGTACTGTCAAGACTTTTATGTCCCCTCTCCCTCTATACTAGGAATTGTTAGCTGTCCCATTCATATAATCATTGTTTTTAAACTGGGTGGGGAATTCTGTTGTAATTTCTATTTTTATTTTTACTGGTTAAATTACAGTTATTTTTTAAAAAATACTGTCATCTGGCTCAAAGATATAGAGAGGCAGAATACAAATATTTTAATTAAATCCATTTAAATAAATTTAACGAGCAATGACATCTTGGGTGACATAGTCTATTGGGATCTGCCTTCATGACAATTTCCCCTAAACCTCCCAAACAAAGCCCTCACTCTGCGTGAAACTCCTGTCATGCTACACTCCAAAAGAAGTTTCATTTCAGTGAACGATCCATGGCAAGACTCACACTGATCCAGATCTAGCTGCACTGATCCTCGCAAACTGCCCTCACACGCCTATTGGAATCAGCCTCTCTCCCATATTCTGCCCATATTACACTATGCTGAACTGGATCGAGGTAGAAACATCATCCTTCTTGCTTCATAATCAAACACTCATACCCTTTCACAAAGGAGTGAAAAAACAGGGAGGCATCATTCATGGGATGCAAAAATGTCCATGAAATATGCCCCTCCCCCCAACCACTTACAGACCTAAACTTCAGAACATTTTATACTGACTTTCAGCTACTTTTTAAAGCAGTCACCTCTCCTTTTATCCACAAAACATACACAATTTTTATACCTGTAATACGTCCTCATATTAAAATTCACTGCCGTTTATTTCGGTTCCAGTCCATTGACCATAGTACACAAATCAAACATCATAATGTCATACAACATAAGCAAAACATCCTCTTGCACAGACTTGACCCTTTTAAATTGCACTTAATTGTAGTAGTAGATAAGAATTTTGCCACTGATAATATAATCTTTTCATTTGTACCAAGAAGCAAAGGTGAAACCACAAATTCTGATGCTCTCCCAGAAAGTTTAGAAATCCAGGACATCAGCAAATTAAATTGAGATCCAGAATAAAGACTGCAAGATGGTAATGCATGCAAAACAGACTCTGTATCATTACTCTTACAAAAAAATACTCTTTCAGGTGGAGGAATTTGCTTGTATCTGCTCACCAACAAAACTGATAGTAGGGCTAGATTAAAAACCTTTCATCTTGTTAACAAAGGCCCCGGTCACACGGGAGGTTTTGGCCATGGAGAGGGACGGATCGGGGGTGTAGCAAATGGGCGTGAGCACACCGCAACATCTGGGAATCGGCTCGCACCCGTCCCCAATCCGTTCCTTCAGGCCAATAACACGCTGTAAAAAAAAAAAAAACAGAAGAGGAGGACTTACCGGGTACACCGCAGCGATCGCCGGTGCGCCCATCTTCTGGAGCAATCCAGGCTCCCGGCCGAACTGTGCATGCTCACACATGCACAGTTCA